AGTTGCAAACTATTGTAAGAAACATTTCCGTGAAAGAACCGCCATCTATGTGCTTTTGAACGTAAAAAATGACAACTGGACGAGATTAAAGATATCCACTCGTACTGACTTGTATTGTACAAGTATAACTGCAAATCTTGTTTTTTTGATAAAATGATGCCTTATATATGTGTATGTTCTGTTTTTCAGTATGAATAAATACGATATTGATATAGTTATTGCGAACCAAGCTGAAATGGAATTATTTTTAGAAGATATATCACATTTACTTGTTTTTAATCAAGTAAAAATAACTGTTATCTTTTGCTGGTGTAACTTTGTTTTAAAAATATTTTCAGAAAGAAGGTCCATCATTGCGTGGTGGTACTGTTATGCGTTAATTATTCGAGCTACATTGCCAGATAAAAAAGATTTGTAAAGAAAACCCAAAAGAAAGAAATGAGAGATATATTAGGGTAAAATTTCTTGTGTTTAGATTGTATTTATCAAGAAGGATTTTTAACCACCTAGCGCATGTTTGTCAAACCACAAAAACTTGTTGAGAAACTCATACAATACTATATATTTTTCTTTAAATGTGAAGGAAAGAAAATAATTGCTCGTTATACAGTTTCCTTGTTAATTCGAGTTATTGATGAAATAGAGTAAGTAATCAAGGTGTGAATTTTCTGCATTCTCTAACTGTTGAAACACAAGACAACGCGTTAGACTTCGAGATTGTTATAACTAAACGCTCTATAACTCTGTTGATCGTTATACTATGAAGTGTGAAAGTGCTTCTATTCCTTCTTAGAAGTTCTTCGCATAGGCCGTATTCTCAAGAGTTCAAAGCTACTCTTGTTGATCGATGATATAGTAGATTTGATTCATTTTGTTTCAGTAATGAACTATCGGATAATATGATGACGTCATTATCATTATTGTTACAAACTTAATACAAGATAGTGAATTACAATTGGGAAAAATTATTGCGACGAAAATCTTTGGAACGTTTTTTAAAACGAACACAGCAAAATAAAACCAATATTATTTTAATACAAAATCAAATTTCACCGAAACGTTCAACACTATTAGATTTTCATTCAAACGATACTGCCGAACAAATGACATTATTAGATTCGGAATTATTTCTAAAAATATCAATACCAGAAATATTGTATATGTCAATTGCAAAAGGAGAAGACTATTGTCCAAATTTATCCTATTTCACTGAACATGTCAACAAAATGTCTTATTGGTAATAAGATTTTTCATCGGATATCAATATTTTCTACAGTTTTCTACTGTAATTTTAGGGTTCGATTACGAATATTAGAACAAGATTCACAGAGACAGCGTAAAATTACTTTGAAAAGTTTTTCAAAATTTTAAAGGTAAACACGTATTTTATTTGAAAGATCTCTTTCTATAAACATATTTGGTTTTTCTATCATCTACGATGTCTAAATAATTTTAACTCATATTTGGCTATATTATCTGCTCTCAGTTGTGGGCCGCTGAAACGTTTGCATTGATCTAAAAGTATTGTCGAATCAATAGCAGAACACACAGTTTTAATTAATAGTATAGGCTCATTTAAAAACTATCGTGTTAAATTCCGTTGGCAGACCATGTATACCTTACACTGGTCTAATATTATCTGATTTAACATTTGTTTATATTGGAAATGCCGATTATGTACTTGATGGTAAAACAGTTAATTTTCGGAAACGATGGCAACAATTTAGTTCATAAACTTCGTTATTGTCGAAAATGGTATTGTAAAATTGTTAACATTGGTATAAAATATTTATTTTTTATATTTTTAGGGAACATAAATTTGACCGTTATGATCGTATATTGTTCTTTCTCAATAATTTTGATGATTATATGAGTGAAAATTCACAATGGCTTCAAAGTGAAGAAATAAAACTACGATCAAAAGCAAATCCTTATGGTGAACAAACTTGTCTTCCAATATCCATCGTTCACTTTTCGGACGATGCGTGTATAATTTGCCTTAAAATGTTCTGCTATTACATGTGTGTTTGTAATTTGAGTGCTAAACATTTTTTCCTGTTTTGCTCAGTCATATGCTACACTTTTTGTATTTGCGACAGTATAATTCTACTAAATATTTGTAAATTTTAGTTGTATGATTTAATCAATCGAAATTATTTATTTATTATCATTAGAAGTAAGACTTTCATGCGAACACTAAAATCAACAGAGGACTCATTCATATCATAATTGTCAGATATTTTCACAATTCACACTTCTTGTTTTTCATAAACGACAACATTTTTTTTTCTACTACATTCTTAGTCCACTGATACAAAACAAACAGAAATGATCTATCACTTCTTTCGTCAAATATCGTTCAAACGAACTCGTTGCTCTTCTTCCTCTTACGATGTGTTGCAAGTCATTAATTTAAAAGATTTTTTATTCATGTTTTTTGCTTGTACCTTTTAATAGAAATTGCGTTTTTTTTATCTTTTTTTGTACATGCACGAATCAATCTCATTCTATTTTTGTTGTATTAGTCAATAAGTGAAATAAATTTAATTTAAGTAACACGTTGGTTTTTTTAACAACAAACATTAGAAAACCTAACGACTACTTTTTCACTGGGAAAAGAATAAAATAACATTCTGTACTCTCAATGTGCGTAGATGGATTTCGTTTTAGTAGAAAGCATCAGCAAAGGTGTTTGTACGTGTACAAGATAAAACCGTTAAACATGAATCATTTCTCGTGTTAGTTCTTCAAACGATGTAAGCTTATATCACCTCGACTGACAATAACTTCATTGTTTCTAATATTTGTTTACTATCACATGATGCAGATGTAATGTAAATTATTGGTTTGTGTTACAATAGTTGTCAACGCGTGTGGACAGTCAATTTTTTCTGTTTTCTCCATTAGTGTGGACAAACTGTCTAAAGACGAATTGACGAATCGCAATTTTTGAGCGTAAAAATGATACAATAATTCGCATTTTACCATTGTTTTGCCAATTCGTAATTCATCGCAATGCACACAACTGATGCGAAGTAACAAAAATGATCAAAAAATAATCAAAAAGGTGCCTCTTTTGTTCCTTTTGCGAATTCGTAAATTGGGACGAATTCGTCGGAAAGAAATTTCGGGTACCCATGAATTCGTAAATCGTATTGGTGGACTATCAACAAATTCGTGAAATGATCTTTTTGGTCCCCAAAAATTCGTATACAAATTCGTAAATTGGCAAAAATACGATAAAATGCGAATTTACGAATTCTGTTTACGAATTCGTAGATGCCAAAGCATATCGGACGAATTCGTAAATTCGCATTTTATTGTCGAGAAATTTTTCTATGAGGTTAAAAAGATAGATTCGTCTCGTCGCATCGATTCGTATACTTCTCATCTCAATTCGCCGTTGTTTTTATGAATTCGTAAAATGCGAATTGATATCAAGGACAAGAAATTTTTCTGTGAGATTAAGAAAACAAAGAATCGTCTGTTCGCATCAATTCGTTCAATTCTTTCATCAATTCGTCGATAGTTTTACGAGCTAGTAAAATACGAACTCATGTTCTACCTTTAAATTTTTTACTTATGGTGAAATTAGATAGAATCGCCTCTTCACAAATCTTCGCATAGTTCTCATACCCAGGACGATGATTACGACGATCGTAAACGGCCGTAATACGTCAAATTACGACTTCGTATTTTGACGTTTACGATAGTATTTCGTTGTAATCTGGCGTGTTTCATGGAGAAGTATTACGATGATCGTAATCCTGTCATTGTATTTTGTCGTATTTCATCATAAACCACGGTTTACGACAATCGTAATCCTTCTCCAGGGTTCCTTTCGTCGTATTTTGACGTAAACTGTAGTTTATTACCGTGTGGATTCGACTTGGGTATCAGTTCGCCGCTATTTGTACGAATTCGTAAAATACGCCAAATGTATTTGCCACGTGAACTGTATCAAATTTCCTAACTCCCCCTCGTATTAGAAGGCCCTGGGTCTTCTATTACGACCCGTCAAACTGTTGGCCATTTCTGCTGGGAAAAACGCAAAATTTCTATGGAGCGGTAATAACTTTATGTTGATGGCTGGTAATTAAAATACGATAGTAGATTTGAAAGGTTTTTCGTATAAATCAGAAGATGTGACAACAGACTATATTAATACATGTATCTAGAGGTGAAGATAAGTCACCACCAAATCCTATCACCAAATCGCTGCCATCAACGTCAAAACACGTAGAATCTGGTGACTTGATGATAGGATTTGATGATGACTTATCCTCACCCGCGAAAGAGCGAA